ACGGGGTCTCGCTCTTGCTCAGGCTGGTTTCAAACTCCTGAGCGCAAACGATCCTCCCGCCTCGGCCTCCCAGAGAGCTAGGATTACAGGGGTCAGGCATGAGCCACCGCGCCTGGCCTATTCCAACATATTTTCTCAAAAAAGTGTTTGGATTTCACCTTTGTTCTCCTCAGTTCAAAACGATTCTTATCCTTCTACAGCACAGATCTGACCTCATCGTCCCTCTGCTTCACTGCCTCCAGCTTGGCCTTCAAAAGAAAAAAAATAAAAGTAAATGTGAAACTTCATCAGCAATTCTTATACCATATTTGGTTTCACAATGTCATCTGGGAAGTCCTGTGCCTTAAGAGGGACGCTATTATAGCTCACAATGTGGCTCATTAGTAACTCTGACAAAGGGAGTGGGCCTGAAGGGCAGCTCTCTTTGGGTTTCAGAAATTGACCCTTAACTGAGAGACTGTCCCTGTGACTAGGGAGACTAGGTTTAGTCATTCATTTAATATGTGTGATTGAGAATCTATATCTACTAATTTTATAAATATTTATTAAGTATCTATCAATATTATTAAATTCTGTAAGAAGGGCATTCTGGGACAATTTCCTCTTCTCTGACTCCTAAGCATTGTTAGATGTGATATCATTAATTCATTCTTTCATTCAAGAATTTAGTGAGTATCTGTTAGATAGCAGGCAATACGCTGGGTAGTGAGGATTCGAAGTTGAATAGAATAGAGTGGCTTTTGCTTCCTGGACTTTTAGTGGCTAAAGGGGAAGACAGATATTAAAGCGGTAACAAGTATTACAATGGGGGAATATAGATACAGAGTGTAAAGGAGGGAGTCCTAACTTAACATTGGTAAGGGCAAGGAAGGCCCCCCCGAGGAAGGGACTTTAAGGATGAGGCCTGCCAAGCCTGGGAAGGAAGAATGTTCCAGGCAGTGGAAAGAATATTCCAGGCAAAGGCCTGGAGAACAGTGAAAAAGATCATGCTCAGGGAGATAGGAAGAACTGTAAGAAATCTAGTATGGGCAGTGTTTAAGAGGCCAAGGAGGAAAGTGCAGCAACATGAGGTTACACAGGTAGACAGAACCAGATGTTGCAAGATTAGACCAGACATACACAAACTGACTTTAAAGAACCCAATCAGCTCCTAGGCTAACCTGACCATGGGAACATAAAGGACCTGAGTGGCACTAAAAACAGAAAAGTCAAAATCTCAGAGGTCACACGGTCTGTGCCCATCAAGCACTCTCTCTCTCGGACAGATGGCACCAGACCTTCAAATGTGTGTCTGTTCACTGTAATGGGGCTTCCCTCAAAGTGGAAATGGCTGTATCAGGCCAACCAGGCTGACACCAGCCACCATGGTCACCTGCCTCTGTGTGCTGCAAGTAGCCTTCTCATTATATTTAGTAGTTTGG